TTTTCTTTCTCAAGATCCAACTCAGTTACCAGCTCATAAAGCCTTCCCTGCCTCTCCCAGACAACTCAGTCACTCGCTCCTCTGGGATCTTGCTGCGTTTGCCCTCACCCTGGTACAGCACTTACCATGTGCCATCACTTCTTGCCCTGGCTTACGTTTGATTCTCTATGTTATTTGCTTCTTGAGGGCAGGAACCAAGGCTTTTTCTTGTGCCCCCAGCCCAGCACTTGGTGTGGAATGGTTTGTGTAGGGAGTGAACAGAGAGAGATGGGAAGAGATGACAGATGACTCAGTTTGAGGGAAGACTGCTTAAAGGAGTACCAGGCCCTAGAAGGCCTCAAATGCCAGGCCATGTGGTTTAGACTTGCATTTCTGGATGATTCTGTACATTGCTGTCTGTGGCAGAGAGGGAGGCCCAGGAGTGCTTCTTGCTTGTTTGGTCAGTTCTTGGGCTCTCTTTTTAAAAATATGTTTGTAGGTGTGTTTTTAAAGTAAAAATAACATGATCATGTTCTAGAAAATTTGGAAAACAGAAAATGTCATCCATGTTTCTACCAGTCTTTTACAACCATTGTTATTTTGGTGTTTTCCTGCTAGTCTTTTTTCATGAGTACTTTTGATAAAATTGTAAGTTGGTATTTATATAACAAAGGCTTTTCTATATTGCTGTACTGTCTTCATAGCGGTGTTTTTTTTTTTTTTAAGACAGACAGGGTCTTGCTATATTGTCCAGGCTGGTCTAGAACTCCTGTGCTCAAGTCATCCTCCATCTCAGCCTCCGGAGTAGCTGGGACTCTAGGCATGCACCATCACATCTGGTAGCTGTGGTTTTTAATTGCTGTTTGGGTTTTCAAGGGGGATGTGCACCAAAAACATATTTGTGCTCTCTGATATTGGACGTTTGTTTTCTGCTTTTTTCTCCTGTTGTAAATCCTGGTGCAATGAGTATCATTGCAGGTACAGATTTTTATGTGCTTCTGTCGTATTTTCTGAGGATGGATTCTCAGGTTGCAGGTCAGAGAGCAACCAAGGTCACTGTGGCTCTCTGTGCACCTAGGACCCAGCCAGCCACTCTGGGGATGATTGCCTTTTCTTGTTCTGTGACACACAGCCGCATCTCCAAAGCAAATAGAACTGCACACAGGTTCCAAAGTATTGGTGACTCTCTGCCTCCTAGGGAGAACGGCCCTGTGTTTTTTCAGTCCATGAGGTATTTATTTAATGTGTTTATTTGGGGCCTGAAATAAACCTCACACTGGGGGTTTGGGTGGAGTACAGGATGGGAAAGCAAGGAAAAGTCACAGAGCTCAGGCACAGCCAGGACCTGTGAAACGCATGGAAAGAGATTTCCAAACGGGTGCAAACAAGTGTGTTTTCCGTGGCCCTTCCTGGCAGAGCCACAGCCTGACTTGGCCTGCCCCTCTGCCCGGTGCCCTCACCCTCCAGCTGCCCGGAAACGTCCCCCTGCCCTGCTGCAGCGGCGGGCCTTACCGACCCGCCTTTGCTTGTCTTCCTCCTTTCTCCTGCAACTCGCCCTTTCCCGAAGCCCTCCTGGATGTGTCCCCTCCCTCCTGTCATGTCTCTGCACCTTGCTGTGGTCCCTAGCATGCTCTTGGGGTGTGTGCACTTGTCCTAGGTACCAGATTGTGGACTCCAGAAGGGCGGGAGCTATGTCCTGCTCATCTTGGCATGTTCCTCGCACTGTAACTGCTGAATGAAAAGAACTGAGTTTAAGAGCTTTTTATTTGTTGTAAATTCAGTAAAGGGCATCAGCCATTCTGAGTGGGACTGAGGGGGTTTTAGGTTACTTCTTGATAGGTGAAACTCAGCCCTCACCATCCTTTTAAATTACTTGACCCACTTAAAAGCCAGCTGATGCTTGATGAGAGGGAAAGGAGGTTGATGCTGTTGACTTCCTATTTGTGACTTGGAGTAAAAGCTGATGGTCCTCACTGAAGCTGGTCAGTGAGGACCTTGCTGGAAAGGTCCAGCTGGTCCTTGCTGGAAAGACTTTCTGCATGTATTTTTCCAAGGGTGTTCCCCAAGAACCAGCTCTTCGAAGTCAGTAGGAAACAAGTAGAAGCCCTTGTCAGTGTCCTTCTGTGATGGAACCTATTTATTCAACCACATTTTTTTTTTTTTTTCAAGACAGAGTCTCGCTCTGTTGCCCTGACTAGAGTACAGCAACCTCAAACTCCTGGGCTCAAGTGATCCTCCTGCCTCAGCCTCTTGACTAATTGGGACTACAGACAAGCACCACCATGCCTGGCTAATTTTTTCTGTTTTTTTGTAAAGATCAGTCTTGCTCTTGCTCAGGCTGGTCTCGAAGCCCTGGCCTCAAGCCATCCTCCTGCCTCTGTCTCCCAGAGTGCTAGGATTGCAGGTGTGAGCCACTAGGGTGACAAGAATCTCACAACAGCATCATTGTGTGGTTTGGCACATAGCAGACACTCAGTAAATGTCAGCTCCCTTCCCCAGTCCCTCCTCCTCCCTCCCTTTCTTGCCAGGCCTCAGCTTCTCTTACAGCTACCCACATCTTCCAGAGGAGCCCAAGTGTCCTCAGATGGGAAAGACCCATGTGTTGCAGAGCATTTTAGGTTCCTCTTTCCAGGCAAGGTGCTTCCGGGCTGCTGCTGTGGTGCAGGTGGCCTGTTCCTCCATGGCCTAGCATCTGGGCCCTGCTTCCGCAGGAGGCTGGCGTCCTACAGCGCGCTGCTTGTATTTTCAACATTCATGGAGCTGCTGCTCTGCCTCAGGCCCTGCACCGAGCACCAGGGACTAAAGTACGAACTAGACACAGATGTAGTCGGCTGCGAAGAGTTTCCAACATACTAGTGGAGACAGGATCTGCTAATGATGAGCCTGGTGAGGGGTCCAAGGGCCAGATTAAGATTTTAGGAGAAGGAGGAAGGATCAGAATGGACAGAGTCATCACCCCTACCATCTCCATCGCACCCCCAGAATCCCCTTCTGTCTGCCATTGGTAAAGGAAATGCATCTCTCTGGGTCTGGAGGTGACCTATTAAACGTGTACGCCTTGGCCAAGTGTATTTATGCCAGCACCTGAAACTGCTACCAGAGCTGCCCCTCTGTTCCTCTGTCCTTGGTGACTCAGACTCGAGTAACCAGTTCTGTGAATGGTGGATCTCATTTCGCTGACTTCAGCTCGCTCACTCAGCTGCGGCTAGGTGTCTGCTGAGTCTGAAAGGGAACAGGTACTAAGCCCCAGGTCTTCCTTGCAGGAAGCCAGGTAATACTGGGAGAGAACCACTGGTTGTTCAGCCATGAAATGACCTCAGAGCCAGTGCCTCCAGCATCGGGTGGCCTCCTGAACCTTACCTTGTCACTTTGCCCAAGTTGCAGGAGCCACCAGAGCAGAGGTGGTATCCAGCAGAAAGGTCATAGCCACAGTCTCTGTTGCGGAGGAGGTGGGTGGGGGATAAGGATAGGATAGGGTAAGGTTCATCCAGAGACACAGGGCGAGTTCTAGCTGTGTTCCTAGCTCTGGGCAAGGTCCCAGGGGTGGTTGTACACAGAGTCACCTTCTACAAACTGGTGGCTCAGGTAGGAAGATAAGAGTCAGTGTCTGTGATAAAGCCTATGATAAAACACATACATAAAAATCTGTGAGAAAAGATAATTCAGTACCGACCTCTAACTCTATAAATGTTCAGAATAAGGATTGAGCTTCTCTTTTGAGACCTAGGATAAGTTCTGTCTGGTCATTTTCTACATCTGTAAATTCAGGGGTCACTCTCTGAGGGCCTGTGTTTAAGAATTGGCTTGGTGGAGGCGAGGCTGGGCCTGCAGGACAAGAAGAGGGGGAGGGGGCAGTCTGGCCACCCTCACAGCTGTTCCTTCCAGAGCCTGGGCATGGCCCTGGAGCTGAGCCCTGCACCTGTTCCCAGGATGGGGGTGGGGCAGGGTGAAGACGGGCTGCCCCGGCCAGTGGGGGAACCGCTTAGGCAAGGGGATGGCAGGAGCCATGTGCAGAGATTAGATGGAAAAGGGAGGACTGAAAACTCATGACAAGGCTGTGTGCTGAGGACATTCTTACATTTTCTAAAAAGAAAAAAAAAAACATTTTCTTGGCTTTTCATCTGAGCCCTTCATATCTCTGCTCCTAGCAAGTATGCCTGATTGAATAAAATCGGTACTAGCAGCCAGCAGCATGTTTTTATCCTAGACTGGAGACAAAAACCCTAGACTGTCCTTTTAAAAATAAGAGGAAGGGCTAGGCTCGGTGCTCACGCCTGTAATCCTAGCGCTATGGGAGGCCGAGGCGGGAGGATCACTCGAGCTCAGGAGTTCAAGACCAGCCTGAGCAAGAGCGAGACCCCGTCTTTACTAAAAATCGAAAAATTAGCTGGGCGTGTTGGCACATACCTGTAGTCCCAGCTACTTGGGAGGCTGAGTCAGGAGGATCGCTTGAGCCCAGGAGTTTGAGGTTATAGTGAGCTATGATGAGGCCACGACACTCCAGCCTGGATGACAGAGTGAGACCCTGTCTCAAAAATAAATATTGGGATTTTGTGGCATTAGGAAAAAGATAAAAAAATAATAACTAATAAAAATAAGAGGAATAAGTGCTTTCCGTAGAATAACGAAACAGTGCAGAAAAGCTATACACTGAAGAGTCAGTCTCTACCCTTGCCACTCCATTCACCTGCCTCCCCACCCCCCTGACAAAAACAAGCCACTCCCCGGAGGTAAACAGCATGAACCATTTTGAATCTGTACGGGCCACTAACAAGAACCTGCGCGGTGTCTATGCTTGGGCCTCAGGGTGTAAAGCTTGCTCCGGGTCTCTTCTGGGAAGTCGGTGGGGCCGAACCTTTTCCAAGAAGGGGGAGGGAGTGCGGCCGTGGCGCGGCAGGGCGGGCACAGGCGCCTTCAGGAGAAGCTTCTCGGGGCTGGGGGCGGGGGGGCGCCCGCAGCCTTACCTGAGCCAGGGTTCTCTCCTCTCCCCGGCGTCTAATGGCTCTTTTTCACCTTCTCAGGACCCCTCTGTGACCCAGCTGACCAGTGCCCCGCAGGGTGGCCTGGCTGAGTTCAACCCCTTCTCAGAGGTGGGTGAGCATGCCCTCGTTCCGTGTCGGTGTCCTCGGGTGGTGCTGGGCTCTCTGGGCACAGGAGCCTTGGCGCAGACGGGAGCGGCTCTGAGAAGCTGAGTCCTCGGGGATGATCCGAATGTGAACTCACCCCGGGGTGGGGTGAGGATGGGAAAGTCACCAAAGCCTGTCTAAAATTCTCCTTTTCGCATCCATGACCTCGGCCCCTTCCTGAGGAGGCCGGGGATGCTGGGCCGTGGCGCTGTGAACCTGAGGCGCAGTGCAGGCCGGAGGGAGTGCCCTCGCTTCCCCCGCTGTAGGGTTGCCCCATTGCCAACTAGTGGAGTCCCAGTGTCTTCCTTCCTTCCATCTGTCCCGCACAGACAAATGCAGCGACAACGGTTCCGGTTCCTGTCACGCAACTCCCTGGGCCCTCACAGCCGGCGGTTCTCCAGCCATCAGTGGAACCAACACAGCCAACCCCGCAGGTAGCGCTGACGAGGAACCCTTTGGCCTCTCCTCTCCAGTGAGGGAGCCACCCAGACCCGTAGCCGGGCCCTGAGGCTGGGGGGCGGGCGAGAGCCTTCATCCCTGGCTCCACTTCCACGGTACTTTTGCCAGTCCCTTCGGAGCTAGTCACTTGGGAGTGGAGAGGCTGCTCTGCTATCCTCACCCCACTGCCACCACCGAAAAATAAGCTCTAGCAGGCCGGGGCCCTTGGTGTCTCCAGAGAGAGCATTTCTCCTCCCTGTGCCCCTACCGGTCCTCATCGGGTCTTTGGCTTGTTCTCTCTTCCTTGGGTCCCAGAATCTCTCTTTTTTTAAACCTTATTAATTTCTGCCTGCCTTCCTATTTTCCTTTGTCCCTCCACCAAATACTGTGAGTCTTACCTGCTCTGTGCCTGCCTCACTGCCCTGCCCCGCCCTGCCCCACGCTCCTCGCAGCCCCCCGTGAGCGTGACCCACAGTGGAGTTGTGTGTTGCAGCCCCTGCTTAGACAGGCCAGCAAGTTCCTGCCTACTCGATTCCTGGCAGTGAGCGAGTTCTCAGAGAGGCAGATGCTGCTAGGCGGAGATAGTATTCTCAGAGACAGCTACATGCGAAGGCTTCCACAGGTAGGCCAAGTGCAGATTGAGCAGGGGAGGGCAGGTGCCTGGCGCCTTGCCTCTCCCAGGCCCCGGAACCCGTGCAGTGAGGCCGGCCTGACGTGCAGGGCTGCCTTTACGCTCAGCCGGGTGGTGGGCTGTGGGGACCTGGGTCCCGCTTAACTGAAGTCACAGACTTTGGGGAGAGGAGGCTGAGACCCCCAGCGTGGTCACTTCTGCTTCTGCCCCCAGTGTCTGCCACTCACCTCCCGAAGGCAACCGTAGCTCTTTGGAGAACTCCTTTGGGAGAGGTTTGTGCGTGGGTGCGTGTGTGTGTGTACACACACACCTGGTTTGTCATCCTACAAGATGACCAGTTTGATACTTGCTCCCTAAAAAGGACTATAGTCTCATTCTCCAGGAGGAACTTGGCCCGAACAGTGGCAGCGGCCAGCAGGAGCAGGGCCCTGGCCCAGGTCTGCTCAGCCACACGTAACAGTCCCCTCACTGCCTTACTCAGGGACCCTGCTCTGCCTGAAGAGGAGATGAGCTTGGACTCTGCACGATGCAAAAGCCAGCGTGCAGGGCCACGCCTAAGGGGCTGTCCTGGGCTGTAGCCAGTTACAGTTCAGGGGGACCCCGGGAGGCAGCTCCTGGAGCGGAGCAGGGACAGGAGCTCGCACAGATTCCAGGGCTCGGGCACACACAGTCCGCCTTCGCCTGTCTCCCCTCTGCGCTCACTGCTGGCGCACCATGCCCCCTTCACACACACATCCGGCTCTTCAGACGAGGCTTGGGTCTCTGGGTTTCTGGCTACAGGTTAGTCTCTTGCAAGGTCTTTTCCCCTTTGCCATTGTCACCAAAGCTCACTCTCACTGAACTCTGCCTGGACTGCAGTGTGGGGGAGGGGAGGGGAAGCCACTGGGCATGGTTCTCCTAGCTCAAGCTTAGGGATGAAGGGAGAGGAGAGCCTGGTAATGGCCAAGAGGCCAGAGTGGTGTGGGGGCAGTGGGACACAGGTCCCCATAGCCTCTCTATGGTGGCCTCTGGAAGCCAAGACACTCTGTGGGCCGGGACTGCATCTGGGATGCCCTGCTGGCTTCCCCTGCCTGGGGCAAGGCCTTTCTTCCTACCTGCCCAGGCTGACACTGTTCCTTGTTTCCGGCTGCCTCCTCCCTTCCCTCCAGGCCGTGGCATCTGCAGCCCAGGCAGGCCTGCTTCGGCAGCAGGAAGAACTGGACAGGAAAACTGCCGAGCTTGAACGCAAGGAGCGGGAGCTGCAGAACACTGTGGCCAACTTGCATGGTAAGGGAGGCTGCTAGGGCCTGGGGCCGCCCTGCCTGGCACAGGAGAGTGTCCCGAACCCCGTATGGTGGGCTCTCCCTGCACTCACCCTGGCCGCCTTCCTCCTGGGCAGCCTGGGAGCTCTGCGGAGCTCCATCATCGCAAAAGGGTGAGATCAGTAAGTTGCAAGTCAGGAGACCTGCAGAGTCGTTCTGATGGATGCGGATTCTCTCTGCACTCCTTTCAGCTCTAAGACTCTTCGATAGCGCAAGGGCATTGGTCTCGCAATTCCTTGTTCATGATGACGACCTGAGTTGTCACACTTATGGCCTAGTTGTTAAAAATAATCACTTAGGCCGTTCAGCTGTCTGTATTTCCCAGTGCATTTGGGGTCCATTATCTTGGAGTGAGCTTCTGGCTGTCTCTTTGGGTCCCATTATCCTTTTCCGTTCCATACCATGCTCCACACACACCCAAGCCCAGCTTGCTGGGGCTGCTCTGGAAGCCCTGGTTTGGCCCATAAACCGCTGACGTGGGGTGCACTCCTTGATGCTGCTACTGCTTTCTTTTTTTTCTTTTTAGACACAGGGTCTCATTATGTTGCCCAGGCTGGAGTGTAGTGGAGCAATCATAGCTCACTATAACTTTGAATTCCTGGGCTCAAGTGATCCTCCTGCCTCAGCCTCTTGGGTAGCTGGGACTATAGGTGCACACAATAATGTCTGGCTAATTTTTCTTTTTTTTTCTTTTTTTTTTTTTTTTTGAGACAGTGTCTCACTCTGTTGCCCAGGCTAGAGTGAGTGCCCTGGCGTCAGCCTAGCTCACAGCAACCTCAAACTCCTGGGCTCAAGCGATCCTCCTGCCTCAGCCTCCCGAGTAGCTGGGATTACAGGCATGCGCCACCATGCGTGGCTAATTTTTTTCTATGTATTTTTAGTTGTCCAATTAATTTCTTTCTAATTTTAGTAGAGACGGGGTCTCGCTCTTGCTCAGGCTGGTCTCGAACTCCTGAGCTCAAACAATCCGCCCGCCTCGGCCTCCCAGAGAGCTAGGATTACAGGCGTGAGCCACCACGCCTGGCCTCATTTTTCTTATTTTTTATAGAGACAGGGTCTCACTATGTTGCTCAGGTTGATCTCAAACTCCTGGCCTCAAGCAATGCTCCTGCCTGGGCCTCCCAAAATGCTGGGATTCCAGGCGTGAGCCACCGCGCCCGGCCAATGCTGCTTCTGAGGCTGGGCCCTCACCCTGTTCTTTGCTCTTTCCACACAGTGAGAGAGAACAACTGGCCACCGCTGCCCTCATGGTGCCCTGTCAAGCCCTGCTTCTACCAGGATTTCTCCACAGAGATCCCTGCCGACTACCAGCGGATATGCAAGATGCTCTACTATCTCTGGATGTGTGAGTCCCAACCTGCCCTCTGAGCTCAAGGGTGAAATGGGCAAGACTTGAGAGCCCCATCTTTGCTCTGGCTGCCCCGTGCTGGTGTGCAGGCTTTCTGCAGACCCCACCCTTCCTCAGTGCCTGGGCTGGCATGGGGAGGTGCCTTCTGCCCACCGGCTGCTCCCTGTCTGAGAACCTCCTCAAAAGGGGCAGTCCAGACCACAGATCAGGCGGTGTGGGACTAGCCAGAGACTTCCAAGTCCCAGTGGAGCTCACTGTACTAAAAGGCCCTCTTCAGCTGAAGGCCTCCCCTCCCGACAGGCCCCTAGGTGCCAAGGGGGTGGGTAAGAAGACTGTCCCTGTAGCTCCACTGTGGGCCATCCAGGGCCAGGGAAAAGACTTGCTGAGAGAAAGACTTCGTTCCCCAAGGATCAGCCCTGGGGTCTGCAGCCCTCCTCCGCTCCCACCCCCCGAATGCCTGGGCTGTCCCATCACCTCTCAGGAACTTAGCTGGGTCCCTGGTTTTGAGATCCCAGAAAACTAGGATTTGGGAACTAACCCTGCCTAGGTACAGACCAAGGTTCTCTCTTTCTGCAGCTGCCTTGACAGCATGGACCTCACCTTTCCTAGGGAGTGGTTTGCCATGCTGGGCAGCCCGTCAGTCACCTTAGCACAGCCATGTCTCTCCCCTCTTCCCTTCCCCAGTGCATTCCGTGACTCTGTTTCTGAACCTGCTTGCCTGCATGGCCTGGTTCTCAGGCAACAGCTCCAGGGGAGTGGACTTTGGCCTCTCGATCCTATGGTTTGTGATCTTCACTCCCTGTGCCTTCCTTTGTTGGTACCGACCCATCTATAAGGCCTTTAGGTGAGTGGGGCTGGGGCAAGAAGTGAGTGTTTGGCTGGCATCCCAGCTAGCAGGCTAAGGGCCGTGGACCCTCAGGCCCTGCCCTAGTCTTCGAGCAGAATAGAATGGCAGGGAAACCCACTTTCCCATTCTCCCCCATAGCCAGAGCAGATGGGATGAGAAGCCTCACCTGCCATTCCACTGCCCCAGTCTGGCTGGTGCCGTGGTATTTCAGTCGCTGGGAAGAGGGAGGGGACCCTCTTTAGGGAGCCCCCTTCTGCGGCTCTGAGGTGTGCTTCTCAGAGGGTGTCAGGTGCTCTCGGTGGCTCATCTGTCCTTATTTATGCTCCCCGATAACTCGAGCACCCGCCCGTACTCTAGATGATATTGATACTAGTCTCACCAACACTTAGACCAGGTACTGTCAGCATCGATGGAGACCCCTTACAGACCCTGAGAGTTCTGGAATTGTGCCTGAGGATTGATGCTTTAAGGGCTTGTAGGGGAAGGGGAAGGGGTGGGGCAGGCGCTGTACCCCCACTGTACTCCGTGCTGAAGGACAGAGGTGGAGGGGCTCAGCCCTTGAGGACTTTTGTCCAGTGTTCCCTAGTCCCCAAATATCTTTTCTTCCACCCAGGTGTACAGTTTTATTATTAGAGATTTATGCCTTTGGCTTAGAGTTCCTTGCCTGTTATGAAATGCAAATAAGCACTGCGGGAGAGGGAGTGGTTGGTCTTAATGCTGTCCTTTGGGGGAGCAACTTTATGAGCTCTTTGAGGAGGGGTCGAGCACTGACCCTTTAAACTGAAGGGCAGTGAAAGGCAAGCTCTTCTTGATTATGGTGGCAGATGTCCATGTGTGTGTGTGTGTCCTTACAGACAGTGTGGCTGGTCCCATGGGGCTCTGTCCCTTGCCCATCGTGCCTCCTGGCTCCTGGTGAGGAGAGATGTCCCCAAGTAACGAATGCTGAGGAGCATGGCCCAAGCTCTTTTGTGACTTCTTTTTCCCTCTCTCTCTACAGGTCCGACAACTCTTTCAGCTTCTTCGTGTTCTTCTTTGTATTTTTTTGTCAAATAGGGGTCTATGTCATCCAGTTGGTTGGCATCCCTGGCCTGGGGGACAGGTGAGACCTGGGGCATCACAGAGGGAATCAGGCTTTGGATGTGGGGCTCAGCCTCTCTTGCCCTATTTCCTAGCTCCCAGCGGGCCCGGCAGGTGACCCACTTCCCCTGTGGCAGGGAGAGAACTGGGAGAACTGAGTGGGCCGGCTCAGATGTGTGCCGGGCCCCTCTCCAGTAGCCACGCACCATCTTTCCTCGCTCTCCTTTCTAGGGTCTTGCAGGCGAACTTGGCTTGACTCTTTAGGCTAGCAGAGCTGTGTTCCTGCATTCAGCCTCTCTTCTCCTGCCACACCCTCCTGGAGGCTGATGCATGGCAGACCCTAAGCTGTGACTTTTCCCAGAGGCCTTGTAACTTCAGGAGACAGGGCCCTAGCCTCCCCTGGACAGGCTCCTTCCTGCTGCCCTCTTTGAGCATTGGCTGGATTGAGTTTCCTGGGCACTTCAGTCCTCAGCTCAAAATTAATCTCAGAAGAAAAGCTGATGGCTAATGTTTTCTTTCTGCCCCAGTGCACAGGGAGCATTGCAGAAAGGTCAGGCTGACACTTGGCGGAGAGCCTGAGCCTGGAAGGGCGGCACTATTTTGGTCCCCTCCCTCTGGCGGAGCTGGCGAGTCCAGAGCAGTGGGGAGAGGAGGCCTGCCTCCCCTCGGCCCCCGAGCAAGTGCACACTGCCCTCCCGCCACCCTCTTCCTTCTCTAATCTCGCCCCTTTGACCAATGACCCAATTCTGTCGTTCGTTGCCCTCTGTGAGGTCCTGGTGGAAGAGCTGTGACTCGTAACTGCTGTTTGCACCTGCACTGGGAATCGGGACTCTCGCGTTCTGGCCCTGGCTCTGCCCTCACTGCCCTGCCTGGGTCTGCCTCAGTGAGCTCTGCAGCCTCCTGATGCCTTTCCAAAGCCCTCTGTGACCATTTTCTCAGGGCACCTCACAACACCCATGGGTGGGTGGATATAATCCTCCTTTTTTAATTGTAAAATACACATAACATAAAATTTACCATTTTATTTACCACTGAAACCATTTAAAACTATACAATTCTGTGGCCATTAGTACATTCACAATGTTAGGCAGTCGTCACCACTATTTAGTTCTAGAACATTTTTATCACCCCAAAAAGAAACTCCAGGCTGGGCACAGTGGCTCACGCCTATAATCCTGGCACTCTGGGAGGCTGAGGCGGGAGGATAACTTGAGGCCAGGAGTTGGAGACCAGCCTGAGCTAGAGCAAGACCCTGTCTCTGCTAAAAATAGAAAAATTAGCCAGGCAACTAAAAACAGAAACAAAAAATTAGCTGGGCGTGGTGGCGAGCACCTGTAGTCGCAACTACTCAGGAGGCTGAGGCAGGAGGATCGCTTAAGCCCAGGAGTTTGAGAGTTTGAGG